TGGGATGTGCAGATACAGACTGCTGAGCATGTGGCCCCTACAGAACCCTGGCTCCTCTCACAGGGCACCTTTATGTTGTCCAGCCACACAGAAGCTGACCTCACTGCAAAACACTCAACTTACATTTTTCTGGGATCACCAGCTTTCCAGCAGAGCTACTGTTGTGCTTTTTCACACAGAACAGAGGGTTTCACTCTGCTGATCAAATAATTATTGCTGAAAACAGGGTGAAAATGCATAATCGACCTCAGAACAAGGATTTATCAAACTGTTCTGTATCCTACAGCTGCCACCACAGCAGGCTCTAGGAATATGTCTCTTGATGCCAGGCATGGCATTTCACGAACAACAGCTCCTCTGCAATGTCCCTTTTCAGCATTACCGTGAAAGCTCTGTTTTCTTCCCACCACTGCCAGGTTTTTTTACAGACCACAAAGTCCTACTTTATATCAATTAAATAGGATATAGAGTTACTGAGGGTAGAGGGGGTTCCCTTCCTCATTTTATCTTCTGACAGCAGGGAAAGGATCATTCACCATATCTGAAAGCAAATTCTACCAGAATATGCTCAAAAAAAAAAAAAAACCAAAAAAAAACCCAAAAAACCAAAAAAACCATACACCAAAAACACAGAAGGAAAGTAACAATATTGGTTTTAAACTGACATCAAGTCAATGGTTGTTGACGAAGTTCAAAACAGACCTGCAATGCAGGAAAAAAGAAAAGAAACCCAGAAATATTTCAGATAACTCAGACCAGCATCTGACTAGTGAAAATTCTTTGCACAGCAGCCAAGCAATAAAACATACACATTGTTCCCTGTGACATCCTCAACTACCCACAGCCAGCCTTGTTCACAGGAAATTGCAATTTCCTAGTCCTGTTTTGCTGCTGCTCCAGTTACTGACAGCAGAGAGATTCCTGAAGACAGCAAGACTAAGAGTCAGCAACAGGTTTCTGTATTTGCTGAGGTGTAGTTACATTATCCCTAGAAATACCCCTCCTCATCCTATCCTAATTCCAAAGTGAAGAAATGGTTTCCACTCTCACGCACTCCAGTACTGCAAGTACAGCTTTTTTACCACAAGTACACCTTTTTTTTTTTGAAAGCCACATTAGCTCATGAGCAACTTCCACAAGCATGGACTGGTACAGCACCAGCACTTTCCAGTGAACATCAGCAGAGGAACCAAATTACCGAACCAACCCTTATTACATGACATGGACGCGCTGCAGGTACATATTCAATTGCAATACGGGAGAGGCAAGAGCACATCACAACACTGCCTACACACAGGTAAAGGTGATGCTGGCCTCACAGAGTGAAAACACGCAGCATTAAAATACACTCCACTTTTCAAATATAAAAAAGACCCATTTTCTCTCACTTCATATAGAGCCATGAAAAACCAAGGAGGAGGTGCAGTTCCCTGCAGGAACCAGGCCTGTGATCACGCACCATTTGGACTGACATTAGGTCTCACTCCGTGTCACGGTATTTGCCATCGCAGCAGCACAGCTCGGTAACTTCGCTCCACAGCTCCTGTCATGGAGCCCTGCCCCACAGCCGCCACTTTTGCTCTGCTGGGCCCCTCACCCTCCCCAGCACAGGACACGTCCCGAGGAGCTCGGCTCGCTCCTTTGCGGGGCTGCCGAGGGCGGGCCTGGCTCTGCCGGCCCGACCGGGCCCATCCTGTGGGCAGCCCGGCCCCAGCCCCGGCCCCGCCGGGGCAAAGGCGAACACGGGGCTGGAGCTGCCGAGGCACAGCCACAAACCCTGCCGGAGCTCAGCACAGCCGGCACGGACAGACACAGTGCCCAGAACCTTCGCCACGGGCACAAGGCCCTCACCCCCCGGCTCAATCGCAGCGCCAGCAGCACTCACCGCTCGCCGTCCCTCCCAGCGCCGCCGCCTCACGCAGCCGCTGCCCCCGAACCCGCAGCTCCCCGGGCAGCCTCTAACGGCCTCTTTAACGGCTCCCCAGCCCACAGCCAGGCAGCCCCAGCACAGGTGCAGCAGGTTTTGGATAAAGGCCCTTATTTGCCACACCTGGTGGGGTTTTGAGTGAAGGGTCCACTTGTGTGATTGGTGGGAAATAAACTTCAGATGTGAAAGGAACGTGAATTTGTCCTGTGGGCAGGAAACCCCAGTGCTGCCATGGCCCCTGGGGGCAGACACTGCTGACAGCCCTGGAAGGGAGCTAGACAACATTGTTCATAACCACAGACTTCAAGGAGTGGCTGGGATATCCTTTCCAACATTGCTAATCCAGCAATCACGGTTACCTGGGAGGTGGGGCCCAGTTCTTTGCCCACTGCTGCTTCTCCTGTCTGGGGAGGAGAGGCTGGATGGGGCCACCTGGCACTGTTGGAGGCCTGCTGAAATGGCATAACCCGGGCAGAGCGTGCAGCCTGCACAGCAGCTCAGCTCCAGGACATCCCCCTGGCACATGGGCAACAGCATCCAACACACTGACAGTTTATTCATCTCCAGGTTTCTTGATCTTTGCCACATGACAGGAAAGTACAGCTGCAAAGACAGATTTCAGAGATCTTGGAGTCTTGATAACCTTTAGACCATTAATTACAGTATTCACCCAAGAGAAGGATAAAAATCTGGTAAAATCTGCCCCCCCCCCCATGCCCCCCCATGCCCCTAGCCTGTTGAGCTGTGAGGAGGAGATCAGGAGGTCTGTTTGTCCCTTGGCCACCCTGGGAAGGTCTCTGGGGCATTGGAGTGGGGCATGGAGCGGAGGTGCTCAGGCTGGGCAGCCCAGCCAGGCTGAAACATGAATCCTCCTTGCTCAGCATTTCATAGCTCAAGCATTTCCAGGCACACCCACCACCAGATATAAGGAAGTTTGAGAACTCTGGTGTTAGATAACTTCACATGTCCAGGGCTGGTGGCACAGGAGCTGCTAGGAGCTCTAGGGATGTCTGCTTTACTTCTACGGAACATCTGGAGGCTTCAGTTGGGATAGGAGGATGCAGTCCTGAGGTGGGTCATGGGTCCCTGTGTGATGCACAAGCAAGAGAGAGAGCCCCAAATACTTCCAGACCAAAGAGCACTGTGACTAAGGCAGGGACCTTATTTGTGGAGCAAAGTGCTTAAGTTTAGACCTGGAAACACTTGCCAGCAAGTGACTCAGACTCACGGGTGCCCATGGCACAGTGTGCACCCTCAGGACAAAGAGATGTGAAATACTCCGATCAGGCTCTTGAAGGAACAAGGGCATCCCTACACTGGGGAGCAGGAGTCAGGAACTGCCTCTGGGTCTCCCTGGCTGGATGCATAAAGTGATTTCTCCTCTCTTAACTCAGTAGGTGACCTCCAGTAGTCCCTCCAGCCAGGTTGTCCAGTCCCTACACTGCCAGTGCTGCTGCCAACACTGGGCCAGTGCAGTGGGAACTGACAACTGTGTAGTTACACTGAAGACAACTGGAATAAAGAGATATAAAACTGCACACCAGGAGTCAGGGCTGCATTCCCCATGAAAAAGCAGGAGCAGTGTCTATCATGCAAGGGGATAACAGGTTTTACTGGCGAAAATACCTGCAAGTGTACAAATTTTTTTGTAATGTTTAAGTGATTTGCAGGCAGAAAAGGTGCGATGGAAAGGGGTGTATGGGTCACACTGGTGTCTGAAATGCTGAGCCTCAAGAGTTCAGTCTCCAAAGATTTCACCATCAGGAAGGTAACTGTGAAAAGTACTAAATAATAAAGTACTGTTGGGGGTTGCTCAGTAACTGAGAGTGCAATAGTCTAATGCTTTTTCTGTGAGCTTGTACTTGGGTAAATATTTAGGCTTTTAAAGCTTTAAATGACAGAAGCCATTGCATAGGGCATTGCACTGTGCAAAGCCCTGGACTATGTTTACTCACAGATGGTCTATTACTTATAAGGTCCTGTAAAGGCTTTTCTGTTCATGCAGTCCTTGTGCAGATTGCAGACAAGGGTGGTCTTTGGGTCCAGTGAAGAAGCAGTCTCTCCTTGTACCAAATTCACAAAGATTGGCTTCCAAAAAGCCCTGGACAACCACAGCTCTTGGTCAAGAGGTGCAAGACTGATACCTCAAACAAGCCTGGACTGCCCTATTGCATTGCAGCCAGATGGTTTTGGTCATGCTTTGGTTTTTCTTTTGTAAGACACAAATTATATTCTTACTGAAACAGGCTAGTAAGGCTTCAAAGCAAGAGAGGGAAAGAAGAAAGAAAAAAAAAATAGAAAGGAAATATTGCCTAGCAATATGAGAAACAGCCTGAGGCTGAGTTAAGAGCACTTACTGTGAGTGAGTGGGTATTAGTGCCTTCTGTTGACAGAGGCAGCACTGAGAGGGCATCCTTACTGGCTGCACAGCCTCTGATTGCCCAGCAAGCAGCAATCTCAAATAAATATTTCCGTCTCCTAGGCGAGAAGATTGCCCCTTTGCCTGTGTGGCAACGGCTCCATCCCTGCAGAGGCCATGGCTGGCCAGGACTGCCTCGGAGCACCCACAGGACCTCACACAGCCTGCACACAGCCTGCACACAACCTGCACACAGCCTGCACACAAACCACAGCTCAGGTGTGGCTGGAGCGAGAGCAGAGCACCCTCAGGGTCCTCTTGCACCTCAGTGCTGTCACTCAGTTTCAAAAGCAGTGTCCCAAGCGAGCACTGGGATAATGATGCCAGGGTTTGTCCCCAGGAGACTTAACAGGAGATGTGTTGTGGATGATGGAAACAAGACATTTATTTAGATGGGCACCAGATATGTCGGAGAATGGAGAAGGGAGTGGACACCACAACTCTATTCACTCCCAGACACCACAGGGCTCCTCTGCAGTGCAGGGCTGTTGGTTTCCATCCCTCTGCCAGACTGCAGAAGGGTTCAGTACTCCCCTCCCTTAGAGTGACCTCACAGGGCTCTGAATCAGAGCAAAAGAGATTAACAAGACGCTGTGCAATCCTTCACTGAAAACCCCAACAAAATAACGAGATTAAATAACAAGATGATCTGAGTAGGGGAAATCTTACAGTACCTTTATTTATCTTAATCTAAAAGTGCAGAGGATTGGAACAAACAAACAACTGACAAGAAATATAACCCCAGCTTAATTTTTGATTATTGGAAGAAGACTCAGTTTCATCACATGACTGTTCTGGTGTCCTAATTATGAACAGTTTCACTGGCTTTGTAAATACACTCAGCAAATGTGGCAATAATCACTGAGCTGTTATAAGAGCAGGGCAACAGCATTGCTGAAACCTTTTCAGCCATGTTGACAATTGTGAGCAGACGTGCTAAATTATGTATGTTTTCTACATAAAGGATGAGGAAGACCTTCTGCCTTAAAAATTTGTATTTGAAGAGAACAAAATTATCCAGATATCAAACAGCTTTCATTTTTCTACACAAAGAAGTAGGCAATAGCAGACCAAAGAGAGATTTATACAAGCAGTACTGTTGACTTGAATTAGCATCATTTTTTAAATCCACATTTTTTCCCAAAGCCAGACATTGCTTCTGCAGCCTGTCCAGCCACTTTTTCTACTCCATCTTGTGCTGTCTTGGAAGCCTTGTCAAAAGCTGCAAGAGAGGGAACATGGTTTAATACTTATGATAGAAGAGAGGTGTGAAAAAGATTAGACTACAAAAAAGGAGTGATATATCTCCAAAAAAGATTCTGGACATTTTGCTGCCTGCCCAAACTTGCCCTTCTTGTCACATCCATGGAGCTGTCGAATGTGTCAGCTCTAAGGAGATATTGCCGGTGTATTTTGGCTTTTATGAAATATTTTAGACCCCAAAATTGCTAATACTTATATTGGCAATGACTCATACTTAGAATCTTATTAAACTGTTAAAAAAAAAATCAGCCTAATTTTTAGTTTAACTTGTTCCCAATGCCAACACTTGTTTGACAGCACCTTTTCACCTGCAGGACCAGTAACATTCGACCCCAGCTGCTGCCCCTGCAGCTGCTGGGATCCAGTGTAGAGCTGGACCTGGACAGACCCCTGCCCTCAGGGCTGGGGTGGGGGGAGCAAGATGTAACATAGAGTTACTTAATCCTCTAAAAGAAGAGCTGCCCCACAAGTTTTCTAAATAGGAAGCCAATGTCTGAATGCTGTGCATAAGACTCGGTGGCCAGAGAGTGTCAGTTACAGTCTGCCAGCACATGTGTGGAGCTACTGAGCAACAGATCCTGCTATCCTTTTGTGAGATTTATACAAGTTGTCATAAAATTGTTAAAGTCGTTACAAAATGTTAAAGGTTATACAAAGTGGTCACTGAAACCAAGGACTTTCAGGCTGAGAACACCTGTGGGACAGAAGAGAATGAGCACGGGCCGCTTCTGGCTTGTGTTGAGCTGCTCCATCTTGCTTTGAACGTCATTGCTCCTACCTTTCTGGCTTGCATCTGTAATCTGGTTGACTGCATCCTGAGTGGCCTGTCCCAGTGTGTTTGCTGTAATTAAGGGAAAACAAAATCAAAATCCTTTCCAGCTGTTCACGTTTCTGGTTACCGGAATTCCACACATCAGTAGCTTTCTGCACGCCTGGAGCAGGCTGTGCCCCTGGCAAGTGCCTGGGCTGGTACAGAGCTGAGCTGTGCCCCTCACAGGATACCCTGGGCACTGTGTGCTGCCACAGCAGCTTGCTCCGAGATTAGTGCTCACCTGGCACCTTCGGTCAGCTGAGCAAATCAATGGCAGATAAGCAGGAGATAAGAAAAGATTAGCAGTGAGTTGGAATGATGACATTTAGCTGTAAGCTGCATATTTAACACTACACTTGCTTTTATTGATTCTTCTACCTTATTATGCTTGGGGTAGGTTGGCCATCTAATGCACATTTTCCCTATGGGCTTTTTGGGAGCAGGGCCTGTTCTAAAACAGAAGCAAGTGCATTAAACAGAGCTGGACAGGAGAAAGGAGATTTTTACAAACAAGATATGAGTAGAAGAAGAGGGGCAGAAACTAGAAACATAACAGATCAACTCCAGAATATAAAACATTAAAAAAGGGAGATGCCTTGCAATTGTGAGATAGCTGATAGTTTATGAAACAGTGAAGTGCCCCTCAGTGGCAGGAATATATTCAGGGTGCAGCAAAAACTATTTTGTTTTCCAGAAAGGGGTTCTGTAGTGTTTATGGGGCTACTACACATTTGTCCCCAGATGTACAGAAACTTTCTGTGACTTCAATATAATCAATGATGCAATGATGTTACTCCTATATTTCAACTATACAAGGAAGTGTTTGCAGGACCAGAATCCAGAACTATATCTAATCAAATTATATGCTACTAGGAAAGAGCAACAGGCAAACATGACAGGGAATATACTATAAAAAGCTACTATAAGCTGTACACATTTTACAGTTTTTCATTTGAAGGAAAAGCTTTTATGCTTTGCATTGAAAAGTTGGTTTCCAATGCCCAGTGCTAATGATCAGCAATGCTTGGCCTTAGTGCATGGGCATTGCTATGACAGAAATGTGCATACAGGGCTTTTTAAACCCTGCAGTCTGGTGATCAATGCTGAAGAACACAACAGAAACATGTCCTATACATTATAAACTATCCATTGCAATCAATGTGGTTATATTACCGGAAGACACTGACAGGCCAAATGGCAAACGTTAATCAAAGCTTAATTCCAACATAATAAAAGGAGAGATGATTAAAAACCACCACAGAGCATGAAAAAAGACCACCGTGAGCAAAAGGCTTCATTGCTCTAAAAATATTAAGTTTTACATTTTGGAGAGTGATAAGAGTTGGACAATGCCCAGGAGCCACACAGGGAGAAGTGGGTGAATGGGTTGAGGCAGCTTTGAGAGCTATGGCCGGCCTGTGGTCTTCTCCTGGCGAAGACCAAAACTTGCAAGGTGAGGAAAAGAGAGGAAGCTGTGTCCTGCTAGCACCGACACAGGTGGCTTGTGGTATTTAGCAACTAGGCCCCCCTCCAAATATACAATAATTAATCTTTCTTACCAGCATCTTTCGCTGCACCTTCAGCTTGTTCCTTCAGTCCCTGGAAGGTTTTACCCGACATTGTGGCTTCTGACACGTGTTGAAGTCCTCTCCTTTGATAAAATTGAGTACCTGGTGATGTATAGCACACTATGTGATAGTGTCCTGACTTGTTCTGGTTTTATACCTTTGCCAGGAGACCTGCTGATTCTTTTGGGGGTGACTGGTACAATGGGTGGAGTTCAAATCTGAAGAATGAGAGCTGAAAATAGAGAAAAGCTGTTTATTTACCCTCCCTGATGAGAGGGTGTGCCCAGATTGAGATTTTTGCTCCATCGCACTGTCTTTGTTTGCTAATTAGTGCCGTTTGTTTTTTTATAATCAAAACTGCAAAAAAAACCTGTTCCACCATCACAGGCAGAGGAAAGCCACTGAACTGAGCTTTACAGAGTGCTGGAAAACTACTGAAGTGCAGTGTGTGGGCATGGCCAACTTTCATCCACACCAAGCTGACTTCCTTCTCCTTCCTTCAGCCCCTGAGCAGATCCTCATGAGAACAGAAACCAGCTCAAACTTGTTTCTGTTCTGAGCAATTTTAATCGCAGGCCCCTTTTCTTGTCAGGTGGGATAATGTTAGATGGTGAGAGCTGTAATTTATGTGTATTTTTATAAGAAGCTGCTAATCTGGTCATCTTTCCAGTTGCCTGCTCAAGGTGGATTGCAAATCCCGTCATCGCAGTAGGCCTTGCCTGGGTAAGGCAGGTAACCAGTGCCAGCACTAGCAGCTCTAAGGGGAAGAAAAAAAAAGAAAAAAAAAGAAGCCAAATTAGCAAACCCACATTTTCCTACTGTGGCTTTGTGGTAAGATTCTTTTAGTTCAGAAATTATGTTTAAACTCACTTCCTTTCCTAGCATTACCACATTAATAAAAGTTTCTGGCTTTAACCTCTGGCATTTCCCAGGTTTCCACTAGCCTTTGGAGTTTATATTTCCTGCCATTAATCCCCAGTACAAAGGTACTTTGTACAAGTAAACTATTGGCAGAGTCAGGAGCCAAATGGCTCTCCGGTTTTGTGGGGTTTGGGTTCCTCATTGCCATTTTCTGGGGTACAAAGTGTCTCTGTTTGGATGGCCACACTCATACCCATATTTTTCTTCCTGAGTAAAGATTTGTGTTGGTAAACAGGCACAGATGCCACAGATGAACTAGGGTGGGCACGGACAGTTCTCATAAGTTTAGGACTTCATTAGTACCCAAGTGAGGAAGAGTCACAGGAAACAAGGTTCTGAGTATTCCTCTGCTGCTCCTATTCCGCCTGTCATTTCAGAGAGCTCTTGTCAACTTTTGCAACACTCTTTTTTTATTTCAAATAGCAATCCTCTTTCCCCCTCAATGGGTCAATGAGACTTTTAATTATATATTCACAGCAGGTCTCTTTTTCAATTCCTTGCTGATTTCTTTCCTGGAATGATTTTCTTACTTGACTTTGCAAAAACTCAGATAAAAAGACACCCAGTATTGTGGGGCTCTGGCATTTTTTGGAACCAAATCACTAACAGAGACCTACTTATTTTTCTTGCCCAAACCTGAGAACACAACCACAGCAAAGCCACACCAAACACGTGGATTTCAGCTGTTCTCAGCCCATTAGTCAGGTAGATTAACTTTTTTGTGGAGTGTTAGTGAAAGGAAGAAACTCCCTGGAATCCATCAGGCAGCTTGTCACAGCTCAAGAGAAGATGTGCTCAGGCTTCAGCAGCAAATACCTTCCAGATGCCCTCCCAGCTTGTTTCCACTGCTGGGTTTGCACTGCAAGGGCCCTGCAGGTGCTGGCTGGGATAGTCTGCCTGAAAGACACACCAGGAGTGTCAGTGTCACCAGGAAAACATTTAAAACCGGAGCACACTTACATCAAACATTAAACATGCACCATGTTAGAGCAATTTTATAGACTCCTAATCCGTTCAGGTAAATATTACTCTCTAATTCTGTTCTAATACATACCTAGATCTCCCCAGCTCCAACTATTATTCTTCCAAGTAGAAATCTCTGTTCAGCATTTTGGACTCAATATGGATGTCTGATCTGTGCCACTGCTTGCTTTACCTCCTGGTCAAAGCACTAAGTAGCATGAATTCCTGAGTAAAACCCACACTGCTGACAGCATGGCAGCATGACTCCTTATCTAATGTAATCTTATCTTTAGCATTAATAGAATTGTTCTGATTCCAAACTGAAAAAAAAAGTGAGCAAATTACTCTTGCCCAAATTGGCATGGCGTGATCATTATGATTGAGCCCAGAGCAGGAAGAGGGACATTTGCATACTATTCATTCCATATGATGGTACCAAAAACCTGAGCATCAGGTGGCTGACTGAGTTACAAAATCACAGCAGAAAATTAATGGAACATATTGCATAATATTTATTCACTCTGTGAGTTAACATTACATTTAAAAGACAATAGTAAGCCCTTTGAACTGATGTTAGATATTAATTAGAGTGCTTAAAAATGAGGATTTGAAAGGTATAAAGTTAGTTTGGACTTTTGCTGCATTCAGCTTTCAATATCTGCTGAGACTGAAGGTAGAAGTCCTGGTTAATGCCAGCTGGGGCAGACACCACAGTGTGGGCAGAGCCACATGCCAAGGGGCCCCTGGAATTTCAGGCTATTCCAAAAGTTACTCCACCTGGTAATGCCAGGGTGCATCACTGACACTGGCCAGGACCAGAAGTCCAAAAGTGCCAGCACCCCCAGCAGCACTGTCAGTACTGTCACCTCTGACACACAACATGTCTGACTCCCTTCTCTGTGTCTGAGTCCTCGGGCTTTTTCTCCACATTCTGCCTCTCCACAGTCTGTTGCCTGTGATGAGCAGTTATTTGTGTTTGGGGGAAAAAAATCCAAAGCTGTTTCTTTAAGTACTAGGAGTGCTTCACAACCCATGCCCCTGAAAATAGTTGGCAACTACAAATACGCAGCCCAAACAGCTGTGAGTTAAATCCAAAGCACTGAGGGGAAATTAGAAATTGCTCTGGTTTCCTTTCCTTTCACACATCTTCCATGGCAGCCTTGAGCACCCTCTCATATATCAGTGACATGAACCCTTTGCTCTATTACCTAATGAAGGTCAGAAGTAATTAATCAGAACTACAGCTTATGTTTTACACATGAAAATGGGCAAGTGAGGTTAATAAAAAAATATTTGGGTTTTCCTAAATTTTAATTTTACCAGGGTTGGGATTTATAGATAGGTGTGATGTCCATTTGCAAGGCAAATGCAATGATGTGTCAGGGCTAAAAAGTTCTACACAGATCACTCCAGAAGTTTACAAAGTGTGCAGTGTTCAACATTCATGGCTGCCAGAGGAGACTGATATTAGTGTGAAAGGCATGTGATGATTATGCCATGAAATAGAACTGTTTTAAGAAATGCAGTGGTTTGCTTATAGATAATTATTGTAAGTCATATGTTAGTAATTTAGGAGATCAAACTAAAGTTGTTCTAATTAAGCTATGTTATCTGTTCAGTTCAAATATTGATATACAGTTTTGGGAGAAAAGTATGTTTAACTGATTCTTCCTTTACACAGGTGGTAACATCCTCCAGGAATTATCAGTCATCTCTGCTTCAAAGCAGGAGATCAACATAAGGCCAGTGTAAATGGAGTTCTTTACCTTCTAGTTTTTCAATCTTGAGGTAATATCCAGGTGAAGTGTCATGTTTCTACTGTCATCTTGAGAACCTGAAACCATCCTTAAATATGGCACTGCTGTGGTATCTCACAATATCCTGTAGATTCAGGACTAGAAAAGACAACAAAAAATTGTCTGTTTTTTAACTTAGAAAGGCTAGGAAGATTAGAAAGGCTTGACTCTCACCTTAAAATCTGGAATGGAACTGGGGAAATAAATAACTGGTCCTATCCCAGGAGTGACTGTCTGGGAAAGCTGAGGATGTGAGCTGGGATGTAAAGTCTACAGGAGAGCTGTGTACATTTTCTAGGCAGACTGAGAGGAAGGAGTGCTATGGCTCTGCCTTTCTGTCACACAGTTGTGCTGTCCACCCTAGTTGGGTTGCGTGGGAGGGGAAGGGTAGAGAAGCAGAGCTGCCTTGCATGCTGGGATCCACACAAAAAAGTAGTGCCAAAGTTTGACAGAGAAAGTCTGTGCTGCTTCAAACTCGTGTGGGCAGGGGTTTGTCTGATATTCAGAAAGGGCAATTTTAATCTGAGCTTTTTCTGCTATTCTATTAACAGTATGGAGTATCTTCTTGTGATTTGGTAGGGTTTTGATACATTTATGAAACAGTTAAACTGAATTTCAATGTGTCAAAGAGGTGAGAATGTGACTTTATAGAGAACAGTATTAGAAAAACAGCCCTTCAGTTTTTAATTGGGTACTCTGCGAATTCAGTTTTAGGACATGCATTATGCAGACACAAAAATAGGACTTTCAAATGAAGTTGGATTTTAAGTGTATTATTACCTGATTTGCATTTAAATTAGTGGAATGCTGTTTGGGATATTCTGTAGAGAGCCACTGCTTCCTCTCCTTCATCCCAGACAAACATCTTTGAAAAACCAGGCCCTGCATGCCCTTCAGCCCTTGGCTAGGACATATCTGGGGGGAGATCACAGAGGCTGTGAGCTCTGTCAGAGCAAATCACTCAAAAAAGCTTAACTGCAGTTTTACATGGAAAGGAAGCTTTGCTATTACCTGGGGAAAAAAATGGTTTTCAGCACTTTTTTGGTCACTCGTATGGCAAGGTTGATGCAACACTTGGCAGCATCTGTTCCTGGCTGTTGGATCCCCTCAGAGGTCAGAGTTCAAGTGCCCAAGTCCTCACTGGGGACAGACAGTGGCCACACTCTACCTGGCACTGGGTGCTGTCTCATCACAGTGGGATTAAGTTAACAGCTTGTGTGACAGTGGTATCACATGTACAAAGTCCACTCCAATAATTCACAGGGTGAGATCAGTAAAAGAAATTGTTGATCGCCCAGACCATGACCTGTCAGCAAAAAATGATTTTGCTAGTGTTTTCTTCCCTCAGCACTTACCTGGGGCCGGGGGTCCCAGCACTTCAATAGTGAAAGTACCTTCTCCTGTGGGATGTTTCTGACACATCTCCTCCATCATTCCACTTTTCACTTTCCTTCCATCACCTCTCATTACACTTGTCTGAATACTCATTGAAAGCATAGACTTCCTTTCAAAAAACAAAACAGACGTACAAAAAAGTTTAGTTTAATAATTAATAAACAATATTTTGTCTCTTTAATCAAAGACCCTTTTACTTCAAAAGAAACAAGAAACCTTTCTTACCTCTGACAAATGTGGCTCAGACCTCTGGCTTCTGCTCCCCACAGCTGGGTGACAGCCAGTCTGAGGAAGGGACAGGGAGGAAATAGAGGCTCACTGAGCCATTGCATGGGCACAGCACTACCCTGCTCCCACTCACTGACACAGGGTACTCATGTGGGAGGAAACTGCATGTCCTGGTGTCTGTCTCCAAGATTTGGGACTGCCTGTGCAAGATACATAAACAGTCTCTGGGCTTTGACTTTGCAGGGACTGCACCTGCCTGGGTGGGCCCTGAGCAGTGCTCTCCCATGTGAAAGGCAGGCAAGTGCAGAGGCAGATCTTTAGGAAACATTCGGACACTTTTGGTGCCTAAATGTTGGGCAGTGTTTTCAGTCTCATAATTCCAGATACAGGTGTGTAAATACTGGGAAAAAACTTTCCCTCCCACAGGGGAGGAAACAGAGAGCTGCACGTTGCCCTCCCAAACAGCCACATAGCTCAGTGTGGCAGAGATGTGGCACGGCATTCTTAGCTCAGTAATTACCATTCTCTCCTGGTTTAAGCCCTTGGAAGCAGGGGCCTCTCAAGCCTGCTTGAGAGATGGGCATATGGGGAGCAGTTTACTGCTCCTTTGAGTTACAGCCTGCTCCTGCCTCCCACACATACCCTACTTAGTGATGGCATTCACCTCCTATTTTTTGCAAAACAGTTTTTTGAAAAACACTTTTGTTTGTATCCCCATAAAATAAAGCTTTTAAAGCAAAGCTTTTGAGCAAAGGGTTTTTCTGTTCCTCTCTAGCGAGCACCAAGAATAGACTCCAGTCTCCTGCTGCTGGCCATGAGTATCTCTTTATGTCCTCTTACCTTGGCCTCAATTTTAGTTACTCTGTTTAATGGGCAGATACTTGGAGGACATCAGAAAAGAGTATGCACATATCAGATACATCTTCCTTTGAGGTCCTTGTTACCTCTGTTAAAGCTCTTTTTTTCCCTTTCTGTGTTGAGGTTAAAGATGCGCTGGGATGGAAATCCTGTGGTCTCTGCAAGGCAATGCTTTACACCTGCCTGAGAGGGGCTGCCAGCACACTTGCCAGATGCTTTCAAGCCACAGCAAGTCTCTTCTGTAATACCTTCCATATTCATCTTCATTTAGCAGCTTAATGAAGATTATTGGTCTGGTTTTAAAGCAGTTTAAACCTCAATAATTTACACTGGCTTCTCTTGGATTTGTGGGTGTTCTTCCTGCAGGTAAATAGCTCATTTTTACATCCATACCTACTGATGTGCTTTAAGCTTAGTCCATTATTCACAGCAACATTTTCCTGCTCTCTACCCTGGTGAATGTGGAGGGTGTCTCACTCAGCAGCTGATCTGCAGCCTGAGCGACTGCTGTAACCGATACCAGCTCCGTGTTCGTGGTGCCCCGGGAGATTCTCCTTTGGCACCTGCCCTCACACTCACGCCTTTCACAGCAACCCTGCCCGTCCCTGCCAGCAGCACTGCAGTTCTCATCAGGTCAGCTGGTGTCCATCACATTTCTTTAATTACCTTCTGGCAGCTTGTTACATCCTGATGTCAGGACAGCTTTCTGGTGCAAACAGTATAAACTGAGCTCAACATCACTTTCACATTCCTTTAAAAAGCCTCATTTCATCCAACATCACCCCCACATTCTCTCTTAAACATGGCAAGTATTGGAAAAGTGAAATATTTGGTTTTCAGCCCTGAGAGGCAGAAAGCCAGCCTACCTACAGTACTGTTTTCAGAAATACAATTTTTCATGATTCTTCATCTCTTACAACGTGATTTAAGGCCGTTGCAGTTTTAGGTATTCTAGTACTGCACTTTTACAGGAAGAATGCATCAGACTGGAAGGATCCAAATCTAAAATGTGCAAACAAAGCCAACAAGACAAAAAAACTTGTTCAAACACTTTTTATTAATTAAAAAAAAAATATTTCCACAATGCCTAGAGATCCCAAGTGCCAGTGCATATGGATGCAAGACACAGATTCGTGAGTCCAACCAAAATACACAAAGCAACTGGGAGGCTTGGGAGGTTGGGAGAGACACATGGCCCAGTACACACCTGCACGTTACTTACAATTAGAGGAGTCTGGCTTACATATATTGTACGACTGGTTTATGAGGCAAGTGCAAGACTACAGAGCTGAAGGTAGTTAGCCTATGGACAGTGGGATTTTCCTGTTGTGGTGTCAGCTAATAGTTCCATGTATGCTCTTGGAATGATCTCTTTTGAGCAAGAATTCCCTAACTTGATGGATCACCTTCAATTTCACCCTGTGAGAAAAGATAGGTAAGAAAACATATAAATATTTCCAGTGGAAAACATAAACAAATTTAGGACAAATATCAATGCTGACAGTCACCATACAAAATCCCACAAACAGCTAAAAACAATGAAGACCATTGTTTTTAGCAGGTGATGCAGAAAATGAATGAATTATCTGTTCCTTCTGGAAACCAGACACATTCCTGGTGTAACTCAGATCTCGGGGAAAATCTCGGTGTGAATTCACACGTTGAGGAAGTCAAGTTAATGTGAGGCCAGGCTCCACTGGTGGGAGTGTCCTGCTTTGTGCTCCTGGGTCTGCTCCTACCTGACATCAGCACTGGTGCAGCCATGCAGCCAGTGGGATTATGGGGCCCATTTCTGGGATTGGCAGTGGGGGGTGATGGCTGGAGGAAGGTGGGAGATGCAAGATGAGACTTCCAGGAGCTTTGGGGACCATGAAAACAGCCTGAGCTTCAGAAAGGCTGAAAACTGTGGAGTTTGGATTCATGCAGTACTTGTGGAAGGGACAGAAAAAGGCCTTAACACTGAAATTGCAAAGGGAATACCACATGAGAAGCGTTTGCCCCTGTTGTCAATGTTGGACAAAAAGTTATCCTTGTTCAAGAGCTGAAATTTGCCTAGAGACAAATTTTTGACTCAGGGCTTCAAAAGAAAATTGCAGGTAGAACAGTTCAAAAATTAAATGAACTAATTTAAATACAGAAAAATCTACAGAAAAACCTAACTTGTTATCCAAATCTCTTCTAAAGCATGGCAGCAAACAGGAAAAAGCTATTCCATGAGATGACAGAACCACAGGATAGCATTAACTTTAATAACTTTAATATGTGCATTTATACCCCAAAAATCAACCCAAATCAGGCAGCAGTTTGCAATCTGTCCATCTGTTGTTCATGGAAAATTCCCAAGATAAGGAAGTGGCAAAAATGAGAACAGACGAGCTCAGGTTTTTGTCCAATAACTCAGGAAAGTGGGAACAGTGATGGGCTCCTTGCATGGCAGTTCTAGAGCCACAAGTGGCAAGGGAGAGACAGGGGAACCCAGTAACCCAGGAAGAGGCCAGGTGTGGCACAGAGAGCACAGAGAGCCGGGGCGGCGGGGCCTGGCACCACTCACCTCTCCGCCAGTGCTTGCCGGGGCCCCCTCTCCCTCCAGCCTGGGCTGCTCGGGCAGCTGCGGCGCTGCCAGCTCCTCCTGCCAAGTCACAAGCAAGATGTTTGTCCTTGCTGCCACATGCAGAGTCATGGCCCTAATCTTAGACAGGCTGTGCAAGATGGGGGTGAGCATTACACATGCAAGGAGAACAGCAGCTTTAATAGATGGCAGACACTGCTTGAAATACATTTTTTGTTGTGCAGCTGGTTTGAGCAGATATCTATGAAAAAGCCAGATCAATTTCTTACAGCCTGGTTTAGGGTCTTTTTAACACAGAAAATCAGATCTTTTTCTGTCATTGAGGCCAGAGGTTTGACTCCATCAGTGTGAAGAAATTTGGGAGGAACAAATAAATTTATGCATAGCAAGGCTATACCCAGGCTTTCCCCACATTATCTTACCCTAAGCACTCATTGCACAGACTAAAAGCAATCAAAGATATAGCAGTACTGTGGCACTGTTAATGTCATGCTTCAGATGAAATATCCTTATCAAAGGATAAGCTTTTCTTTTTGTTTGAGTCCAAGCATTTACTTAAGTATTTTTGGTCCCTCTAGCTACTTGCCTACATCTTTCAGCTACCTTCCTATTCACAGAAGAAGAGAAAAGGTTGCATTACCAGGTAATTACGTTAAACACAATTTGCTGCATGGGAAGAGAAGACAAAATCCTGACCATACTGAATGTGCACAGGCAATGGACAGAAAGCAGAAATGCACCTGGGTGGAATCAGTCAGTGAGACTAAGGGGAACCAGAAATAGCAAGACCTGTGTAATTTTAGTTGAGTTCACCAGAGAACTCAACTAAAATTACAAAGCTTCTCTGTTCCCTTTGAGCACACATGCCCAGCAGCTCCCCTGATTGACTCTCTTCCCACATGAAGTCAGGGCCACCATGGAGGGAACCAGAGACACATATATTATGGAAAGGAAAAGTTGATTTTGCACGGAAGGCAAAGTTATAAATTTCAACATTTTGGAAACACAAGGCCACCACTTTGCCTGGTGCTGCTGCTGATGCAATGCAAATCAATGTCCCTGCCAAACCTACTGTAAACACAACTTTATGCTCCATGTGTTTAGGGTACTCTACTTTTCCTTTTCACACATGTCCTTACTTTCCTGTCCAGTCACAACTGTTCTCATCAGTAGGATAACATTCCTGCCATGCCTGCTGCTTTTTGGACTGAATTTGGGGAAAAAAAGGTGATGTGAAGTAAAAAGGAAAAATAGATGGAGTTACATGGACACAAGGTAGAGCCCATGAAAATTAAATCTGGAAATTGAACTTCAGATCCATTTGTGGCAGCAAGGGGAGCCAGGAGGTGGAAGCACTGCAACCTGCTTGTCCTACCTATGGGCTTCCTGCTCTCCATGCAAGCTACTGTAAGATCAATTCACTGGAGACAGAAAATAGCCAAAGTATGAGCTGCAGCCCTGTACTGATGTCTGTCACAGCTGCAGGCATTCCTTCATCTCCCTGCTGAGGCCAGAGCTGATCAGTCTGTTTATGGAGAGCACCATGTGCTGCTGGTGTCTCCAGATGAGAAGCACAGTGTGACCATCTTCTCCTAAGGAACGTGCCCTTAACTTGCATTGCATTGCTGGCTGAAATGATTCTTGCTGGTACCAGCCTGAGCTATTTTAAGCAAGCCCAGGTAACCAAATGGCATCAAACTGCACATCATGGAAGCCAGTTGCTCCTGCAGCTCTTCAGGAGAGGCCACTGCTCTGATGGAGACTTTCTGAGATGAGTCAGCTCTCCTGCTGCCAGCAAACAGCTCACTACTCTGAATTTATGGATACTCATCCAGCCTTGGGATCCAGCCTGTGGCTTTAAAGCACTTTACATTTGCATTTACATTATATTTTGCATATCTACACCTTATAACTCAGCAGTGCACACTAGGCCAAAGCAAGTAAATAGCCTCAAATTGTATGTTGAAGCTTTACAAACAGATTTTTGACTATTAGGTGGAAAGGAAAGAAATTTCCAATGCAAGCCATTGACAATAGCTGCAACAGCAGGCATTTCATAGTGTTTTGCAGGTGATGTTACCAACTGCTGTGTGAAATCATGATGATCAATCAGAGGCAACTGCCTGAAGTGCTGAGCTGCATTGGGAAAACTGGGGAACAGCTCACAGTTACACAAGGACCAGTGCAGTGCACTCCATCTTTCTACAAGGTATAACTACCTATTGTTTCTGTGGGCAGGGAGCTTGGCTCTGGTAGATGTGGAAAGAGTCCTGGGAGGGGGACACCTTTCTCAGGACCACCCTTGGGACACTGTATCCAAGAGCAATGGGTGAGCTGGAGAATCCCTGTTCAGCTATTGTGCTGCTTGTTAGATCCCTTGGATGGTGCTCTCTGCCAAGACTGCTTCAGAAGGCTAAAAATCAACCATCTATTTTTAGAAAGGGAAGCAACTGAGTTTCTGGACGGTGTTTCTAAACTATGTTGGAGGAACCAGCACAATAGCAGGATGAAGAGGTGTCAGGCTGTGTTAGGGATGTCGCTTCACAGCCTTTTTCTCACGCACTTCCACGCTGCCGGGAATAAGGAGCAGGAGATGGGGAAGGGCTGCATTCTTCAGCTGGGTGGTACCTGGCTGGGGATTTCAGGGACTGCTCAGGAAGAAAATACACAGAAGACGACCATGTGGTGTAGGGGTCTTCACTTTGGACAAGGAGCCAGAAATTCCTGGACACCAGCTCCAGCTATAACACTGACTCACAGAACAATGCTGGCTAAGAAAGAAGGGGTGAAAAACCAGCTTCCTTGGGGAGAATAAAGAGTTTTGCCATTCCTTTCAGTGCTCATCTCCTCATTAAAAGGGGTAACATTTTCTAAGCTAAAAGCATGTTGAAACCATGAAACAATTAGTAATGCTCCTCCTGCTCTTAAAGGGTGAGCCAAATATTCCCCCTCAGAAATTTGGTACATTCTTAGAAAAAAGTATTTTAAATGGAAATAAAATTAAATATTTAGTTTGCTATGGGCCATTTTCTTCTGGTTTTGGGTGGACACTTGAATCTTTTTTTGCTAGTCAAGAAAGAAAAGTGAAGTACTTGAACATAATAGTTAAGTTAAATACAAGACCTCAGAATTCCTTCCAAGAATACTACACAAATTTTTAGATATTTTGTGTGTGTGAAAATATTTTTTATGTAGAATATATACACCACAGGAGATCTCTATATATAAAATACAATATTTTGCTAAGGTCATGAAACAGAGGTACATATTCAGCTATCACTAATTAAAAAATCAACAACTTAAGACCTGCCATTTATAAAAATATTCCTGCATAATGGTAAGGCATCTTAAATAGACTGTACCATAAGCTTCTTGGTTTGGATATTTTTATAAGGTTTTTAAAAACTGATTTTAAAGCCCAGAAATACTGGGAGAAATTAATTACAATTTAATTCTTTAGATTTCTCATTTTCACGGGTTCTATGAAATGACCTTTTTCAGCTCTTCAGCAATTGACATGTCCACTGTCTGAGTTCATATATGAAGTGGAATTAATATTTTTTGGCTATATTATCTTACAGGCCAGTGGGAGTTCTGTTGCTGTCCCCAAATATTTGGACGTAAACAATCTTACTAAGATAATTGTCCTTATATAACAGAAAAAACAGTCTAGATATTGGATACTGGAATATATACTCATCAAATCTCAACAAATCCAGTGGCAAGCAAGATTTCATTATTATGATTATTATTATTTTAAGGCTGAAAAGCCAGAGAGGTTCACTGGCAGCCTAATGTGCTACAAATTCAAGGGCCCTCACAGGGACATCAGTTGCATAATGTGGAGAGGTTCAGCCTCCTGTAGTGCTCTTGACCTTGGGTGCTGGAGCAAACACGATGCTGCCTGGCAGCATCCCCAAACCACTCCCTAGGAAAACCTCAGGCAGCCTGGCAGGTCCTGTGGAGGAGCTGTCCTGGACAGGTTTCAGGCTGAGTGCTCAGAGTGATGCTGACAGCTCTGACTAAGGGGTCAACCCTTGATTAAAGTGAGTGGACCCACCAACAGGACAGACACATGGGCATGCAGGATTCCTGTCTTAGCCTACAAATCCAGGGAGTCTCTTGTGGTGGCTTTGTTTTTATCCAGCTCACAGCCAGACTCCCTGAGAGTCTCCTGGGACTGCTTATACAAATGATACCTATTTAATGTGTATCCTATGGGATTGCAGGGGTATAGCCTTGAGCCACGGAGCACATCCGTCCATGGTCTTCCAAGCTTTAAGGCTTCACCAATGCCACTAATTCAGCTATTTTACATTGGAAAATGTCTGCTGAATGCACTAATGAGACTGAGAGGGGAGCACAGAAAAAGTGCCTGTAGGCAGAGTGCCCCACTCCACGCTGCTTGTGCAGTCTCCTGTGCTCTATGACATGTGGAAGGATACCACTGGGATGCATCACTGCATCAACTATGTACAGAGAAGCTTGAATACAAAGGGGAACAAGTTTCAACTACTTATTCTACCCAATTGTTGCATAGTTTGGCTGTTGATTTCCCTGCTCCTCCTGCTTAGCAGCTCTGCCCTTGGTGGCTTCCCAGATGCTGTTGGTTGCTCTCTCCTTGTGGCATTTGCCAAGCCCAATCTGACTTGAACAGGAAGGTCACTCATTTTCTGCTTCTAATTCCTTCCGTGCGACAGATTGCCTTTGCATCGGAGGCGTCGCAGGGTGTAAGTGAAGGGAATTAAGGCCATGAGCAGCAGCCTTTCCCATTCAAGATGTGCAGTTGTTATGAAAGAGATGAGCCATGGCGTGGGTGCGGCCCACGTGTGCCAGATCAGGTGCACAGAAACGCTGTGATCCAGTGAACGCGCCCAGCGGTTGCACATAACTGACAAAAGCTCATTTAATTAATGGGTTGAAGTAAAAAAACAGATCAGACCCAATTCAAAGTGACAGAGTCATGAACTGACAACTAAATCATAAAAACTGACAGGACAAATAGACCTAAAGAGAAGATTTAGGTGGAAGGCGTAGGGAAGCATCAGTTCCTGGGGAAATTGTTCCAAACCCTGAGGGACATTTTGAGAGCGTGTGTAGGTACATGGGCTTGTTCCCAGCCACGTGGTGTCTGCATTGCAGCAAGCTTTGTGCTGTGTCATACAGACGAAGCATTAATCCTCTTCTAAGACAGGGATATTTAGTGGGTGGTTATCTCACTGGAACCTCTTAATGTCCACCCCAGGGATGGGGATGGGTACAAAGCCACAGACAGAACACACTACTGACTGCTTTCATTCCTTTTGGTACTGGAAAAGTTGCGGAGGGTTTATAATCTCTTAATTTACAGATTTTTTTAGTTGATACTTAAAAACTCCCCCAAATGAGTCAACTCTTTCTTGTACTCAGCAGTGACCAGGTCAGTGCTAAAGCCCTGTCAGGCAGTGCCAGCACAACTCAAGGTTGTTCTCATCTGGTGCTTGGCACCCCTCCATAGGTGTAGGGTTACTTCAGCCCCATTTCCTTCTGTGTGGCTCTGAGTTCTCCCCCAAGGACAATAAGGAACAGCAGGCTGCCAGGGTGTCCACATTTCAGTGCGTGCTGTGATGCAAAAAAGGGCTGAATTCTTTCCCATGGCCAAAGTCACCATCTGATACACCTGCACCCCACGGCTATCCTGAGCAAAACTTAATCCAAACCCCTTAGAGTACCCTTCTCTTTCCTAATGTGTGCCTGCCACTGATCCCAGCTGTCAAATGCACAGACTAAATGTCAACGAGCTCTCCGTAATGGACATTAATACTGGCAGTGGCCAGCTGGGGACATGCCGTCTAGGCTGCTGGAGTCCCCAGCCCAAGTCACCCAAGCACTGCTCTGTGCCATGCATTCACAGATCCCTGGCACTTTGAACAGCCCTTCTATAGCAGGGAACAACACTGGAGATCATTGAAAACCCAAATAAGATGTTGGTAAATGCTCTGTGCAGAAAGAAAGAGGGAGGATAGTATGGAGCACAAACAAATCGCAGGACTGGATGCTCTCTCAAACTTCTGGGGCTGAAATCCTTATGATTATTCCGGGACTGCAGGATTATAACAATGGATATTCACTGTTTAAACATTTAAAAGTGATACATTATCACTCTTAGTGTCCCTCCAGTGGGTCTCCCTCATGCATTACAGTGCCTGGTGCTGCTATTGCAGACTCTGGATGTATTTCCATTAGCAAATTGTGTAACATGATAGGAGCAGTTCTGGAGAAAAAAGCAGCTGTGCTGAGAGCCCAGCACAACTCCTTATACTCCTTTCAGGGCCCTCCCTCTGGAGCAGCTTTGGCTCCATGGCAATTATCCATTAGCAGTGGGGATGCACTCGATGTGCATATGGAGCCCAATCTTCTATGTCTAGCTGGACCTAAAAGGTGTCTAAACATGCTAAAATATGGTGAGTATGAATAAAAGACCTGCACTCCTAAGCTGAACTAATCCAGCAGAACAGATGAACTTTCACAGAAACAAATGTTTTTTCTGTTTTTTTTTTTTTTTCCTCATGTGATTTTTCTTGTTTTTCTCCTTTTGTTTTCAGTCTGCTGCCTCAAGCACCTCTGCTGTTTGGCATGACACTTTATCCAAAGCAGTTTTCTGGCTCCATTTAGTCTGCCCTTTGTCATGTGACACATCCTAATTTTTTATTTCTTAATCAATCTCCATTTTAAGTCTATGCAATCGGACATCAATGGAAGATATCAGAATGACAGTTCAGATGCTCTCTGGAAAACCTGCACTGGTTTAAGCTCTGAAATTAGCTGTAAACTGTACCTGTCAGTCTTTGAGGTGGGTTCTGACTCAGGAGGGAAGGAGGATTGATACGTCTCTGTTCTTGCTGAAGGGGAGCTTGCTGTCTGCAGCAAGGATTCCTACCACCAGCAATTTCCTCACTCTCCTGTGTCAATCACCCCATGGTCAGTCAAAAGGTAGGAAGGGGTATTTTGGCCCCATGGAATTAGGAATTGCTGTTTGCACTCCTGCAGCCTAACTGTGGGAATGGAGATTAAACTTATCCCAAGGGTTTAGCAGAACTCCTGCCCTTTTCACAGGCTTTCAGGAGGACATTTTGCATCACTTGTAGCTGCTGTTGTCCTCTTTTGTTAGGCTATTCTCTCAGGATTTATATGCTGTGTAGAAGTTTTGTTTCACATCACAATGTGAAGGTCAGGAAATTAATCAGCAGACTGTCTGAACAATTAAAACAATTTTGGCCAGCCTGGCTTTGTTTTGGTTCTGGGTTTGGGTTTGCTGTGACTCATAAAGCTCATGTGGCCATCAACAGCACTGATCACACTCTCTGAAGAGGGGAAAGAGACAGGCTTACCAAAGAGCTGCCAAGTATTGGCCTCCTGCTGTACAAATGGGTGCTGTTTGTTACCAAAGCATCTTCTCTAACGATCAACACTGCCTTCATCTAAGGAACTGTTCTGCTCCTTCAGACGTCCCTTAATCCCCTCACTTGAAGCAGCCCCGTTTGTCAAATTAGGCTGGAGGACAGAAGATGCCTTGTCTGAGTCTGGCTTAATCCGTGCACAGTTTGGGTACACGGCCTTTTATCAATAAGCACTTGGTTGTTGTCAAAGCAGCAGGAAGCAGAGCAGCAGGGTCAGGCTTTCTGCTGGAACCAGGCTGTGCCTGGCTTGCTGCTGCCCTCTTCTGCCTCCGGAGCTGCTGTGGCCAGGGCAAGGTGCCCCTTTCAAATGAAATGATTCTGTGACTATATTGGGCATTATGTGAAAATATTAAGTATTATACAAAAGCAGATATTGCGGAAAACCTTTCATGAAATAAGCAAAACCATCAACTGTAAATGTTTGCAGGTTAATCCAAAGGCTCTTCTGTCCTGCCCATCATAGAAGAAACAAACACACCTTTTTTACAACTCCTGTAGTGGCCACGATGTTCTCTGCTCCTTCTACAGTTTTGTTTGCCACTGTGTTCACGCTGGCTACTACAGCTTCTCCCACCATGTTGGCCTGCTCTTTCGTCTTCTCAGCAACTGCAGTTCAACAAAAGCAGAAAAGTCAACTAAGCTAACGAGACACTACCAGAAGGCTGCCAAATTCCCTGGGGTGACAAATTGTTACATTGATGTAAAAGAAGAAATTAGCCCTGGTGCAGTCCTTGTTTGGATACACGTCTCAGTTTAGATTGTGTATGTGAGGATTTTTGTCTGGCACAAAATGCTGCTTAGAGAGCAGCACTGCAGCCTGTCAGTCTTTGTGGGCAACCAGAGAATGAAAAATTTGCTGTCAGATACTAAGAGACAACAGTGTAAATAAGGTATTTTGCATTGCAGACTGTGCATCACCTCTTCAGGTTACTTTCTGTTTGATTTAATACCCCTTGGCAGAAAACAGCAATAGTTATGAAATTCCCCAGGGAAAGGATCAATTAATCTTCCTTCAGGACAGTCCATATGGCTGCTCCACCTTGGAGTTGGGGATACCCTAGAAGGGACCTTTAGGTCCCTGACTCTGCAACTGCCTGACAGGACTCTCCCAAAGACCACAGTTTTGGCCAGACAGGATCTGATGCAAATAAATCCTCTCTCCGTGCTGGGCTGTGCACCTGACATTGTGAAATGTTTAAACAGCTGTAAATCATCCCAGTCTGCCAAGTAACCTGTGTTAGATTTTTTCTGACCTACTCTCCTGATTAAATATTTTTATTTAACTCCCACTTGGCGGGGTGATGGCTCCCAAGAGGTCTAACAATCACCACAGATTTCCACATCCCCGTGGGGTCTCTTACCTGAGGTCACACTTTGCACTACACCCTCCTTGGTCTTGGTGCCTGTGAAAGGAAACACAATCCATCAGTGCTGGAACTTACTGGAACTTACCTGGAAATTACCCTCTGATTTCTGGACACAGATGGCTTCCTGCTCTGAGGAAGTGCAGTGGGGAACCAAGGTGCTGCTGGTACCTCCTGCTCAGACACAAACCATTTGTAGAGTCAGAAAAAAGACCAGCTTCCCTCCCCAGTAAAGCCAATGAGTATCTTTGTGTTGAGAGTTGGAGAACTTCAACAGAAAATTCTCTGGAGATGCCTAGACCTGAAAAATCTTGATTATGAAAAATTGTCCCTGCAATATTTCCAAAATGAGCAGTTGAGTGGTGGTAAATCAACTTTAAGTTAGTTGTAAAAATGACTGTAAATAAAAACACCTGGTAACATCTCACCTACCTCACTCTTGCAAGACAAGAAGTCACATCCATGACTCTCCCCTGCCTTTCAGTGGGATACCTGGCTGCAGTGGTCATTTAAAGTCTCATTCTATACCACTAATAAAGACTGGAGAAATCTAAGACTGAATTTACAGAACCACCACCTACCTCCTACATACCTACTTACTAGATGCCCAGTTTGGTGCCTCAGCCTAGGCTGTAAGTGCCTGCTCAGAGCAATGCACAGAAAACAGATGGTTTCATCTCAAATTATGAAAATACACCATATGTATGCTTACATTGTAATTTATCTTGCTGTTCTCAATTCTAAAAAGCTAACAGGATGTGAAGGCATTCAGTTTGCAACACAAATAGCCCTGAGGAATAATTAATCTCTGATTTTCCTCCACGCTTGAAGTGACAAGCTATATATGCTTTCTACTTGATACTGCTGCAGATAAGTTAAATCATATGGTAGATGGGCAGCCCCCATGGTAACTAGGTGCTTTACACATTAAAAAAAAAAAAAAAAAAAAAAAATCAAATGTATCTCTCTTGGAAGTTAAATAAACACAAGCCAAAATATTCCACTGGTCCCACTTTACTGTATATTGCAAATCATCTGCACCTATACAGGTTTTCTTCAGGTTTCCCATACTGATACAACAAAAGGATTTCTATGGCCAACTAATAAAATGATAAAAATGGACAACAACCAGGCAGATTTTTGATTTCATGAGAGTGGAGCACCCACGGATGTGGTGGGAGAACCAAGCTACAAAGCACAGCTCATTCTCATTAACAGCCTGAGAAGTAAAACAGGTGCAGTGCCCTGATAACAACAGATCCAGCCCAGCTCTGTTCTGCCTGATACATGTCATGTATTGTTGAATGTAATTCTCAATTGTTGATTTATTTTGGTGGTTGCAATATTTGCCTGGGGCAGAATAAAACTGTTCTACCACAATGTGTCCTCAACATTTCACTCCACCCATCCAAACTGTCTTAAAAGTCAAGAAATTAAATCTTTGTACCTTTAAGTTGTTACTGTTGTAAGATGAGTTCCTAGTGATGCACATGATACATGTGCACTGCTGTGAACTGGATTTAATAAAGGTGCCCATGATACACAAACATGTGCAGAAGCACAGCCCTGAGCAGAGCAGGTGCAAGTCTCAAGCCATGAATGTGAGCCCTCACACAAGGTTCACATCAGACACCATCCTGCTTCGCTTTCCCTCCCAGCAGCATTCCAAGAAAAGAGTGCCACAATATTGATTTGACATACAAAGTCGTCTCATATTAGATGCTCAAGTTTAGCCCTTTGTTGGTTTTTGGTCCAACAGCAGTTGATAGGTAAGCAGAGTACATGATTTGCTGCACCAGCCTTTCATGCCTTTGCTGTTTTGCAGCAAACACTCTTAGTGAGACAAGAGCTGCAGTTTTGCATGTTTTTTGCCAGACTTCTAAGGTGACTATCTGGGCTCAATTCTTTTATGAGGAAGAGGAGTGAGCAGGTGCTATATTTGTGGATGGAAAATAATTCCAGAAAGGAGGGATGTAGATAGAAGAAAAACATCCGAATCCATTTCATGACAGAAGCGATGTCATTGGGAAGAGTCGCTGCTGCAGCCTGGGGAGAGCTCGCCCCATCCTCCCAGCCCAGCCACACCCGATGACTCAGGCTCCCATCCCATCCATTATGCGCCGCATGAAGCGCGACCTTCCGGCGCACGCCGCTGCCAGCAGCCCGCATCTGTTGAATCAGAAAGCAATCACCTGATGCTCAATCTCATTTCACTCATTAGTCCTTGCCTGCAGCTTGTCTACCCAGAATTAAAAGTTCATGCATCCTGCCTCTTCTGAGTGCTGTGAGTCGTCTGCAAGTGCTTTGGGACCGCCAGGGTGGGACCGAGGTGGTGGAGCACTGTGCCCTGGGAGAAGGTCTAGAGTGGAAAGGGATATTTTGATGTGCATTAAATCCTGCAGGAATCACTCTGTTTAAACACAGCTCGGTATGTTGAGGCTTTCTGCAACACACACGGTCGAAAATCATTCTGGAAATCTACAAGTGATTCTTTGTTGAGCCTTACTGAACTATAGCATTAAACAGTACTAATGACTTGATACTCTGATGTGGCTTTGCATTAAATTCATTAATTAACTTCAGCATCACTTACACCCCTATTCAAACCAAATTAAAAAAGAGAGCCCACTGAACCAACTGCTGGATCCACACTAACCATGAGGGATCCCCTGACACTTCAGCACGCTCAGAAGCTGTTAGACTTTGGAGAGCAGATGGTGATTTCACCAAGCAGAAAGGTGACCCATGATACAGGACTTCTCCCTCTCCTTTCTGCACTCTCTTCTCTACCCCCGCGGTTCGGCAAGGCTGGCAGCAGGGCAGGAGCACCGCATTGCAGGCTTAGCACAGGAGGAGGCATCTCCTGCCTGCCATGGGCTGTGGGAGCTGAACCTGTATGGATCACAGGGGGACGAGGTGGCCACAGTGCCCCAGTGACGCTGTTCACTCCAGACAGATGCCTCAGAGTGAGCATTATTTTCTTCTCCTGGGCAGCAGCAAGTGACTCACCAGACATGGTAGTTGTGCCCAGACGTTTGGAATCCTCCTCAGAGAGTCAGCAATGAGTTAACACAAACCTGAATAAAAGTCAGGGATGCACTTCATCCATCCTAGGCCCTGGGGATTTTGCTCTCTTTCCTGATGTTCTCAAAAGACCCTTGAGGTTCAATACAGTATTATTCTCTCCTAGCATCCAAAAATTCAAGTCTCATCACCTAATGCTCTAGATGAAGCTGCTTGGATAGGGCTCTGCAAGTGAAGAAGCAAGGAAGGAACAGTTCACTCTTTATGTGGCACAGAGTGATGAAAGGCAGCATGAACAACATACTAATCATTCCAGTTTTAACCAATATAACACACATCCACCTTCTCTGATTATTAAAACAAAACCCCCATTTTCTGAGCTAATCAGCATCTGGTCTTTATTTTTCCTGCCTGTGAAAGACTGAATTTTCCCTAAAGAGCTGAGCTTCCCAATAGGAACTGAATCCAGGCCAAGGCAAAGCTCTGTCCAGTGCATGACAGGGCAGGAACCAGCAGTATACCAACAAACCAAACCAATAAAAGGAGAAAGCACTTAATCCTCACCTTGATCCTTTCTTGAGCCTCATTCAGAGATTAAGGTTTCAAGGCTTATAGGTTTAGGCTCATAGAAAACTTTATTGAAAAGGTTAGAATCTCCTAAAGAGACCTCTTGTGCAACAATGAAAAAAACAGGTCACAGTATGGAGCTGGACAACGTGACTGAAAAGAGATGTGAGAAATTATGTATAAAAACTCTGAATAACCCAAACACAACTCAGATCTGGAAGCAGGTGGAGCAGTAATGATGCCACAATGTGACACTCGCATGTGACATTTCTTAGACTGGTGTTTCACTTAGTGTAGTTGGTTTAGTTGTTTACAGGAATGCTGCTTACCTTTTTTTCTTGTGGGTCAGCTTCAAATTGAAATGTGAACTGTTACATCCATTCATTTCCAGCACATCAGTAATTAAGTATTTAAAAATTCAAGATAAAAGCATTACCAGACCTGTTACATACATAGTTTGCATTTAATTTTTAATTTTTTATTTTTAATTAAATACAAATATATATCTGTAGCTATTGTCAATAGAGCAATTTTAGATATAGTAGCTAAGTACAGCTGTGGATGTTGCAGTAGGATAGCAGGAAGAGCCTGCATGTAAACTTTCCTACAAAAAGAAAC